TGGGATTACAGGCACACGCCACCACACCCAGCTAATTTTTATATTTTTAGTAGAGACGGGGTTTCACCATGTTGGCCAGGGTGGTCTCAATCTCCTGACCTCATGATCCGCCCGTCTCAGCCTCCCAAAGTGCTGGGATTACAGGCATGAGTCACTGCACCCAGCCAGTGATAACTATTATTACTCCCATTTTACAAATGAGGAAAATGAGGCAGAGAGATTTAAGGTTATATAATCCAGCAGTCCAGCTCTGCAGCCTGTACTATGACCCTCTGTCTTTAGTGAGAGATACACAGGCATAAAAGGCATAGGCCTGTTGGTCAGAGCCATTCTTTCCTGAGGGAAGGCATTCGGTTTTCTCCTTGCACAGAAAACTCCACTGCACACGCAACTACATCCACATGAACTTGTTTGCTTCGTTCATCCTGAGAACCCTGGCTGTACTGGTGAAGGACGTCGTCTTCTACAACTCTTACTCCAAGAGGCCTGACAATGAGAATGGGTGGATGTCCTATCTGTCAGAGGTAATCCCCTTACCCACTGTTTAAAGTGGGCTCCCCACCTGATGGGTCACTACTAGGAATCAGAAGGCAGGCAGGTGGGACTAGGGAGGGGCAGGGGGAGATAAAAGGGTTTCCAAGACTTTCTGGCTAGAGAAGCAGTACGTGACTTAACAAAACCACCACCTGCCCAGGTGAAGGAAACCACAAGCAGAAGGGTTCACCATGGCTGCTGTATGTCTTTGGGTGGGAATTTCTTCATGTGCAAACAAAAGAATTGGACTAGATCAACGCATTTTACAATTATAGCTGGCTGTCTGTATCCGTGAGTTCTGCATTCATGAATTTAACCAACTAGGGATAGAAGGTTTTGGGAACAAAAAGGAAGACTGTGTCTGAACTGAATATGTACGGACTTTTTTTCCTTGTCATTATTCCCTAAACAATACAGTATAACAACTATTCACATAGCATTTACGTTGTATTAAGTATTACAAGCAATCTAGCTATGATTTAAAGTATATGAAAGGATGTGCATAGGTTATAGGCAAATACTCCACCATTTTATAGAAGGGACTTGAGCATCTGTGGATTTTGGTGTCCACAAGGGATCCTAGGAAGAATCCCTCAAGGATATTGAGTGACAATTTTACTATTTTCTTAAAGCAGCAATGCTTTTCCACATTGAAATCTGCATCTATTGAGATGGTTTTTCCTTTATCCTGCTAATGATGCAGGATACCTATTAAACTAACCTCGCATTCCTGGAATAAATCCAACTAGGTTTTGACATATTATTTTCTTTCTCCTAAGTTGCTGTTTTAGTTTGCTAATACTGTGTTTTGTTGAGTATTTCCTTGTTGACATTCATGAGAAAGATTGGTCTGTAATGCCTTTGTCAGGTTGGGGATCAAGTTTGTGCTATCCTCCTAAAACAAATTAGAACTTGTTTCCTCTTTCACTATTCTCTGGAAGAATTTATTAAAGATAAGTATTATTTCTTCCTTAAATGTTTGATTGATTGTGCCAGTGAAGCATTTTGGACCCAGAGGTTTCTTTATTGGAAAGTTATTTATTTATTTATTATGAGATGGAGTCTTGCTCTGTTGCCCAGGCTGGAGTGCAGTGGTGTGATCTCAGCTCATTGCAAGCTCTGCCTCCCAGATTCACACCATTCTCCTGCCTCAGCCTCCCAAGTAACTGGGACTACAGGTGCCCGCCACCACGCCCAGCTAATTTTTTGTATTTTTAGTAGACACAGGATTTCACTATGTTAGGATGGTCTTGATCTCCTGACCTTGTGATCTGCCTGCCTCGAGCTCCCAAAGTGCTGGGATTACAGGCGTGAGCCACCGCGCCCGGCCCTGGAAGGTTTTAAACTATGGATTAATTATGAATCTTACATCCAGATTCTATTTCTTCTGTCAGCTGTAGTAAATGAGTTTTCCTAGGAATTTGTCTATTTCATCTAACTGTTCAAATTTATTGGCATAATATTGTTCATGATATTCTCTTCAGATCTTTTTCAAGTCCATTGGATCTGTAAGAGTGTTGTCATTTTCATTCCTGATACTGATAATTTTATCTTTGCTCTTTTTCCTACCCTTTGATCATCTTGGCAACAAGTTTCTCAATTGGACTTTTCGAAGAATAAACTTTCGGCGTTGTTGATTATCTTTATTTCATGTTTTCTATTTCATTAACTTCTGCTTTTATTATTACCTCAAACCATGTACTTTCTTGGGCTTAATTTGCTATGCTTTTTCTAACTTTTTTTTTTACATGATCCTTAAAATAATTGATATTCAGCTTTTTTCTTTTTTAAAAAATGCACTTAAGGCTGTAAGTTTTATTACATAAGATTTGGTATTAACCATATACTGTAAGTTCGTGCAATATTTTGTTTACATTTGGTTAAGAAATACTTTCTAATTTCTGTTTTATTTTTTTCTTTGATCCATGGATTGCTTAGAAGTCTATTTTCTAATTTCCAATCATGAAAATTTTTTAATTATTGATTTTAGTTTAATTGAACTGAGGTTAGAGAACATACTCTTCAGGTTTCCATTAGGGCAATTGCTGATGGTGAATTTTCTACATTTTTGTTTGTCTGAAAATGTCTAGAACGTTAAAGAGGAGGCTGGCCTTGAAAACCTACATGAAGCCCTCCTTCCTTCACATTTTGATATTATTGCCAACCTCCCTGAGATAGTCAGCAAGGGTCTGGGAGAGACCAGAGCAAAGAAGGAGGGGGCTGGGCACGGTGGCTCACACCTGTAATCCCAGCACTTTGGGAGGCCGAGGCAGGTGGATCACAAGGTCAGGAGATCAAGACCATCCTGGTCAACATGGTGAAACACCATCTCTACTAAAAAAATACAAAAATTAGCTGGGTGTGGTGGCACGCGCCTGTAATCCCAGCTACTCAGGAGGCTGATGCAGGAGAATCACTTGAACCAGGGAGTTGGAAGTTGCAGTGTGAGCCAAGATCGCACCACTACACTCCAGCCTGGTGACAGAGTGAGACTCCATCTCAAAAAAAAAAAAAAAAAAAAGGGGTTGTCCCTGGGAGGTCCTTCTCCCCCTGACTTGGAGTCAGATGCAGGGGAGCCTGGACTCACCCTCAGGTGTTTTGTCTTCTGCAGATGTCCACCTCCTGCCGCTCAGTCCAGGTTCTCTTGCACTACTCTGTGGGTGCCAATTACTTATGGCTGCTGGTTGAAGGCCTCTACCTCCATGCGCTGCTGGAGCCCACAGTGCTTCCTGAGAGGCGGCTGTGGCCCAGATATCTGCTGTTAGGTTGGGGTGAGTGACCTGACCTCCAGCCTCCTCTCTTGGGGATCCATCAGAACATGGGAGCCCAATAAAGACTTTAGTTGGACTTAGAAACCTAACTGGAGGTTGCTTCCGGGACATATAAATCCTCAAGGACAGGAAGCCTTGAAGAGGGGTGTGTGTGTGTGTGCACAAATGTGCATATATGCACAGGTGCTATAGGCCCAACAGCCCAATCGACACATTCAAAAATTGAGAAAATCTGGTGGAATCTGATGATATTCCTCCTACCCTGTCCCCAACTGTATTAGTCTGCTTGGAATGTCAAAACAAAATACCAGTGTAGTTTAAACAACAGACATTGATTTCTTATGGTTCTGGAGGCTGGGAAGTTCAGCATGCTTGGGTTCTGGTGAGGGCTCTCTTCCCGTCTTGCAGTCAACTGCCTTCTTCCTGTATTCTCATATGGTGAGGAGAGAGAGAAAGCAAGCTCTCTGGTCTCTTTTTATAAGGGCACTAATCCTGTCATGAGGACCCCACCCTCATGACCTCAGCTAAACCTAAGTACTCACCACCAAAGGCCCTGTCTCCAAGTTCCATCGCATCGGGGGTAGCGCTTTAACATATGACTTTTGGGAGGACACCTATATTCAGTCCATAATACCAGGTCTTCAAGAAGAGGTTTTCTGATTAAAAGTAATATGACCAAGAGTATCCAGATTTGGACCCCCTACCTCCACAAACCCTTTGGAGAATTTGGTGCTGCAGGATTCAGAGGAAATAACCTGGGCCAGTCATTCAGGAGATTTGGGTTAATACCCTTGGATTTATTCTCAGCTGCTTTGTGACAAGTATCAAGTCGCTTTCCCTCTCTGGGCCCTGGTTTCTTGGGTGGTAAAACAATGGATCGGCCCTGTGCTACTCTGGGTCTCTCCAGCTCTCACAGTCCACAACTCCATGATGTTAGGTTTGATGTTTTAACCACCTGTGGTTAGCCCCATCAGCTGTGGTGTGAGGCAGGCAGGTTTGGCCAACCAACTCCTAACTACGTTTCCCCGTGTTTTCTCCCCAGCCTTCCCTGTGCTATTTGTTGTGCCCTGGGGTTTTGCCCGTGCACACCTGGAGAACACGGGGTAGGTAATTTACCGGGTTTTACTCTTTCATGAGCCAGTAATTCCCAGGCATGCCTAAATACAAAGAATTACATCATTTTACCAAAGAAAATATCCATCCCTTCTCATTTTGGCCATCTAGAATATTCTTAGGAATGGGAGATAAGATAATCAAAGATCTTATAGCAACTAGTTTATTCATTTAGTTACATATGCAAATTAGCTCAAAGATGCTGTGTAGGTCAGCTGCAGCCCTGGGTATGTAAGGGCAAAAATATAAGAATGATTATTGCAGCATTGTTCATAGTGAGAAAAAAAAAATAGAAAAACCAAACAAACAAAAAACCACTGAATGCTGGTCAACATGGGAATCACTGAACAAACTGTAATATACCTATATTGCAGAATATTATGAGACTACTTAAAGAAAAACAAGTTAGTTATTATGGGAACTTTTAGGCACTGATTCTCAACAGCCTATTTTAAGCCTATTGCCGAAACATATATCGTGTGATCCCATTTTATAGCACACACACACAAAAACTACGTATTTAGGAATTTATGTGCATATGAACATGGAGGAAAATTTTGGAAAGATTTACACACTAGGCTGTTACCACTGAAGAGCAATTTAATGTTAAGGAAAGTAAATGGTACCAGTGCTAACGGGAAGGGATTTTAGTTCTCTCTTCTGCAGCTCCCACCCCTCGGGGGAATGATTGGTGGGAAGTAGGGCTTGAGTGCAAGCATCCTTCTTCTAGACAGCATGAGACTTTGACTTTCAACCTCCTCTTGTTTTTAAGTCTTCTTTTGCCTGCTCTTTGACCTTAGGTGCTGGACAACAAATGGGAATAAGAAAATCTGGTGGATCATCCGAGGACCCATGCTGCTCTGTGTAACAGTAAGGACCCTTCCATCCACCTCTTTGTCTCTGACCCTAGCAGCCCACTCTTGTCCCCCAGATTCTCTGATCCCTTGAGAGAGAGAAGCTAAACTATGAGCATTTTCTGCTGAGTGAGAAGTTAGAAGTTTCTTGCTCTGGTTCAGGACCTCAATTTGGAGTTACGTTGTAAGCCTCCTTCTCTCTGGGTCTTCAAACTATGTAAAGAGACCTGCAGTCAGCTCTGTGGTCCTGTATTGAAGGGCTGAGATGTGTGCAAGGCTCTGTGGATACTGATGCCTTTAGTCATGGAGGAGCCCGGAATAGCAGGGGTATCGGCTTATATCCATCCACAGGAGGGAGGAAGAGACTAAGGGAACGTCTTTTAGAGGAGGAAAACACACAATATTAACCCAAAATTGTGATGCAGATTAGAATCAAGACATAGATGCTACTCTGAGACCTTAGGGAGGAAGGACCTTTAATCATAGTGGCCCGGAATATTTGGGATGGAAAAGGATGGCCAACCCAGAGTCAAAAATCCCTTTAGATAGTAGAATATGAGAATGAGATCTGTCAAATCTCATTCTAGCAGGAAGGGGCGGGAAGTTAGCAAACACTGGGAAGGGTTAGCAAGATCCCAGAGAGAGGCAGAAAGTATTTCTGCCTAGACACAGCATCGTCATCTCCGGGTGCCCACCAGGCGTCGTACACTGTTGTTCTCTGCCCACCCTGTTCCCCAAGGTGTTGCTGGATGATCTGTTTTTGCCATTTTATGTAAATAATCTGGCATTTGTGGTACCATGAAAGATAGGGGAGTGTCAAAACTTGTCAATAATAGAAGGCAACTCTCTGTCTAGACCTGGGTGTGACCTGGAGGGAAAAATGTTCCTAGAAGTGGTGGGAAAACGGTGTGAACAGGCCTGTGTCACTTCTAGTCTATGAGGTGGCACGAATGCTGCAGTACCTTCCCTCCCGTCACTGGACCTGCAGCTGATAGTGTCCCAGATGAGGTCTGGGCACACACACGCCACATGTGGCGTGCTTAGCCCTGCCACATTCCCCCGCCCTCCACAAGCCTCTCTCCAGCCACACTGCCCAGCTGGGGTCCTGTCTGGGCACCTCCACCACTGTCCCAGGAACATTTATTAAGCACCTCTGCATGCCAGCTCCATGTGTAAGTGCTTTGTGTATGAGTGTAGGAACTCATGTAATCTTCTCAACCAATCTATGAGGATGTGCCATTCTTAGGTTTATTTTACTGGTGAGCACACTGAGATGAGACATTGCTTGCCTAAAGTCATAGAGCCAGTCAATGGAAACTGGATCTCAGCGCAAAGGGGTGACGGCTGGTACTTTTAACCAAACACTGTGCAGCTCAAAAACTATTTACTGCCTCCAGCCCCCGTGCCTGCCATACTGAATGCTGCAGGCTCCTTTGCATCTTAGTACCTTGGTTCAGACTCTCCTGTGGTTCCAACTCCTTCCCTCTCCATCTTCTCCACCTGGTGATCTGTTCCTCATCTTTCAAGTCTTGGGTCAGGGATCCGTCTCTCTCTGTGCCGCTCTACCTGGATGCACACCTCACAAAGTAGGAATGGCCACACCCTCCTTTGTTCCTTCCCAGATCCTGTGCAGGCTTCTGCTCCAGCCCTCGCCAACACCATTTCAAGTGTCTCTTTAAAACCTGTTTTCTGCCACCGTAAACCCCATGTTCTGATCATCCTGGCAGCCAACTCAAGCATAAGGTGGGTTCTTGATAAACATACTCAGTGGACACTCACGGCCTGCACTCTGGACCCTGGAAGGTTCTTGCTAACCAGGCAGAACAAAGCAGGATAGAAGCCAGAAGCCATCCCTAGGAGAGCGTTCAGGCATGGTCCAGCTGGATCCCTAGTGTTTACTTGCAGTCTTCTAGAAGCTGCACCAATGATTCTCAAACTGGGTTGCTCTTGGAATCCCCTGGCTGTCTTTACAAATTCTTTCTGCCTGAGTCCCACCCCCAGACATTTATGTTTCATTGATCTCAGGAGTGGCCTGAGTTGAAAAGCATGTTGCTACACCCTTGCTTTTCAAAGGATGGTCCTCAGACCAGATAGCACCAGCATCACCTTAGTGCTTGTTATAAATTCAGGTTCTTCAGCCACATCTCCCAGGCCTACTGAATCCGAATCTGCGTTGTAACAGACTCCCCAGGCTTTGGATGCACATTAAAGTTTGTGAACCTCTTTGCCTGTACCTGGAGCTCTCAAAACTGGCTGTGTGTTCGAAACATCATGGTGGCTTGTACCCCAGACCTATGACATCAGAAATTCTGGGAGTGGGACCCAGGCACTGTAGCCAGGCACTGTAGTTTTTCCTTCCTTCCTTCCTTCCTTCCTTCCTTCCTTCTTTCCTTCCTTCCTTCCTCCCTCCCTCCCTCCCTCCCTCCCTCCCTCCCTCCCTCCCTCCCTCCCTCCCTCCCTCTCTCTCTCCCTCCTTCTCTCTCTCCGTCTCTCCCTCTCTCTCTCTCCCTCCCTCCCTCCCTCCCTCCCTCTCTCTCTCTCCCTCTCTCCCTCTCTCCCTCTCTCCCTCTCCCTCTTTCTTTCTTTCTTTCGACAGAGGCTTGCTTTGTTGCCCAGGCTGGAGTACAGCAGTGAGATCCTGGCTCACTGCAACCTCTGCTTCCCGGGTTGAAGCGATTCTTGTGCCTCAGCCTCCCTAGTAGCTGGGACTACAGGCGTCCACCATCACACCTGGCTAATTTTTGTATTTTTAGTAGAGATAGGGTTTCACCGTGTTGGTCAGGCTGGTCTTGAACTCCTGACCTTGTGATCCACGTGCCTCGGCCTCCCAAATTGCTGGGATAATGGGCATGAGCCACCGCACCTGGCCCACTGTAGTTTTAAAATCCCAAAATGATCCTAGCGGACAGCCAGGGCTGGAACTACTGCTTTGGACCTTGCTTTGGCCTTCTATGGCTGGCTGACCCACGTGCTAGTTTCCCTTGGTGCTTCCTAGCTGGGACAAGAGAACATGCTCTATCTTCTCACTTTGGATAAAATGACCTTTACATGCTGTTGCTTCTATGACTCCAGTCATGGTCAGCTCTACTGAAATGGCCACTCTCACCTTAGTTCACGGTGGACTCCTTATCTTCCCATTCAGACCTCTCTTCCTGCTCACTCTACCCAGAAAATGGCTCCACAACCCACCTACCCAGGCACCCAAGCTGGAAAGCTTGGTGTTCTCCTAATTTCTGTCCTCCTTCTCCCTGCAACATCTATTCAGACTTCAAGTCTTGTCAATAATTCTACTAAAGATCTCTCCAAGCCATTTCCTTCTCCTTAATCCCTTGGTCTCTGCTCTTCTTCAGCCCGTTGTGATTTTGTTTGTTTGTTTGTTTTTGTGTAGACCTCTGCAAAAACCTCCTTTTTGGTCTCTCTTCTTCATTCTTACCCCTGACAATCCATCCTCTTGTTGCAGCCCGAGTGATCTTTTTGGAGTAAAATCTGATTATGTCTCTGTTCTACTGGTCTGTTTAATGGGTCACTATTTCCCTCCGATCTCGTTCTAAACTCCTTAGAGTAGAGTCATTCCCTCTCTACTCACCTAACCAGAAGTGCCCTCTGCACTACTTGTATGGATACATTTAAAGTTCTCCAAATCCACCATGGTGTTTCCCTCCTCCCATGCACACATAGGCCTCAAGTGCCTATTGGATGGCCCGAGGTCTGCTGATAAACTCTCTTTCTCCTTGGAAATTGAGTCCTTTATTAATCTCTCTCTCCCCCACCCCCCAACACCCTGCAATTAAAAGAGCTCAACAGGCCTGCCTAGAAGGGAATCTTTCACAATCACCCTCAGCTCTTAGAGAGGACATTGCTTAACTATTTTTGTCTGGTGTCTACAGGGACTTGGACAAGAGGAAATGGGCTTGAAGAGAAATAGGAACATTCCCCTTGGTCACAAGGAAGATATTTAACCATGAACTTGTAAAACACTGACATAGACCCCAGAGAAAGGCATTAGATCTTCATCTCTATCAGCTTCCAAGAAGATAATCTGTCCTGAACAATAAGGAGCTAAACCTGCTGCCTTCCCAACCTGCATAGTTCTAGGATTCTAGGATTCTGTGCATTGGTTCTAGGGCTCCATGGAGAGTGGAATGTATGTGTTCCAGCAGACATGGAAGGGAAAAGAAAGGCCATGCAGAAAGAAGTGAAAGAGCCAGGCTAAGAGTCAGGAGTCTGGGCTCTCTGACTGACTTGTGATGTGTCCTTTAGCCAAGTGAGTTGGTCTCTCTGGGCCTCTGTTTCTTCATCTATAAAATCAGTCTTGAACTAGATCAGTGGTTTTCAACCAGAGGAGATTCTGATCCCTGGGGACATTTGGCTATGTCTGGAGACATTTTTAATTGTCATAAATTGGGGATGGGGGTAGGAGGAGAGTGTTGCTACTGGCATCTAGTGGGTGGAGGTCAGGGATGCTGCTCAACACCCTACAACACAAAGAACCATCCCCAGAACAAATAATTATCCTGCCCCAAATATTAAGAGTGCTGACATTGAAAAACCATGGACTAGACAGTAGCTGCACATTAAAACAACCTGGGGAGGATTAAAAAAATACCCAGCCTGGACTTACCCAAACTGATGGAATCAAATCTCCTGCCATGTAGAACTTCCTTAGCACTGGAATCTCATTCAGCCACTCTCTTGTATCTTCCTTTAGCATTCATTGAGCACTTTCACTGGGCTTGGCTTGGTACTAGGTTATTTCAGAGTTTCTATCCTCTGGGAACTCAGAATTTAATGGGTATAATTCTCAGACTCATCAGACTATGACGGAACCAATATCTACCTTCATTTTTGGTCATATGACCACATGTTACAATTTTCCACTGATCTGAGTAGACACAACCCTAACTCTAAAAGAGAATTCCTTAAATCACAATGTGGAAGGAATCTGAATTCCTGAATGACTGTATGGAGCAGAGCTCCCTCCACTGCACTAGATTGTGACATAAAGAATAGAATAGAATAGAATAGAATAGAATAGAATAGAATAGAATAGAATAGAATATAGAATAGAATAGAAATCTTTATTGTGTTAGAAAAAAATAATAATTCTTTGGCCCCCACATATATCCTATTTAAACTGAAGTAAGAAAGAGTAACAATAATCAAGACTGAGCTAGTAGCACTTGGCATTTCTAGGTACTTAACAATTTTCTTTCAACTTGGTCAAATTTGAGCCTGGGCCGTATTTTGGGGAACATGGATCAGAGGCTTCTAAGGAAAAGCCAACTGTGCATGGTGAACAAAGCACTGGGACCAAGGAGAATTTCCCATCCCAGGGTCCAGCTCTGTGGTGAACATCCCTAGTTATCATAGTTGGATCTCTCCCACCATCCCCTAGACTGGGTCTGCATTTGCTGACCAGCATCTGGGTTGACGCGAGTGTACAACATGCTGGAAATCCAGATGCATCAACAAACTTCATTTACTGCTTTGTTGGTACAAGGTTGCCTGTGTTTCAGAAATGACCATAATGTGGCAACCTGAAGAATCCAGATGCCCTTTGGGTCTCTTGCCAGACAGAAATTGTAGAATTCCCACCTCTTTTCTTTGTATCAGACTTCACTACTTCACCTGTCATCTAAAGTGTACATTTAGAGTTGAATCATCTTGAAACCTGGCATATTCTTACAGCCTAGCCTCCCTGGCCCTCAGTAGAATATTGGTAAAGCCTTGATCAGTCCTGCTCAAGGACAGCCTTACACAATAATTACACTACGCAAGGTCATTCTATCCATACCCTGCTCCCTGCAGTTAACAGACCCAGTGAAATGGCTGTTTTGAGCTCACAAATTGAATGAACCATCTGTTGACTTTATGAAGTCATAAAGTCAAAAGCCTGCATTTGCTATTGTTGAATCTTCTGTAGTAGCCTCAGAACTTGGCAAAGCTGATACACTGGTAAACTTCATCTTCACTGGCCTTGTCCCTCTTTAGGTCCTCTGCCCCACCAGGAAGCCAGGGGCTTTCTGTGACTTCAGGCTTCCCAAGACATTTCCTCACTCCTGTACTCTCCTCTTCTAAAGACTCCAAGTGGGAATCTTGCTGTACTCTGGGTTTTCCCACCCCATCAAAACTTACATTTGGTACACCCCATCTTCTGCTTTAAGTGGTGATATCATAGGCCAGATCCTAGGTAATTAGGTTGCAAAAATGAATGAATGAATGAATGGATGAATGAATGAATGAATGGATGAATGAATGAATGAAGAAAGGGCTTCCTTCCTCCTCTCCCAGTGATTCCTTAGCTTCAGTGGGATGTGTGCCTTTCAGCAGGGCTCTTGGGGAAAGTGTTTTGACTCACAAGAGTAGCTCTACAGGATAAGCATTTTAGTCCACAGAGCAGGCCAGAGGAGGAGGGGTTTGGGGGTAGATGGAAGAGTTTAGGGGTAGACGAGGGCCTACCCCTGAGTTCCCGCCATACTGGCAATCACCTCTGCCAACCTGTAGACCCAGACCTGTGCACAGAAGCTGGGGTACCAAGAAAGTGTCACCAAGGATGCATCTTGGTGATGTCTGGGAATGCATCTGTATTTTCCAGAATCTAGCAGAGATCCTTACATATTTGGGTCCTTAGTACCCACCCCCATCTGGTCACAGAATCCTGGAGGGGTTGGCTAGGTTCTTGGAAAAGGTCCTCACTCAGCCCCTTTCCTGCTTGTGTGCAAATGAAGAACAGCCCCATCCAATAGTACCTGCTGACTCTTGTCTTCTTGGAAGCCTAGATGAACAGAGGCTCCATGGTACCCCCAGCTAGGGTTTCATCCTATGGCAGTGAGGAAGAGCCTTCTTCATATGGCCCCTGGGTTGATGCCCATTTTCTCATATCTGGTCTCTAGAAAACACAGAGAACAGTGAATCAACCTGCTTCTCATTATAACCCTTCATTGCCTAGTAGACAGTCCTGATTGCAATTAATTTGCTGGGCCGGGTGTGGTGGCTCACGCCTGTAATCCCCGCAGTTTGGGAGGCCGAGGTGGGGAGATCAGGAGGTCAGGAGATCGAGACCATCCTAGCTAACATGGTGAAATCCCGTCTCTACTAAAAATACAAAACATTAGCCGGGCGAGGTGGCGGGCGCCTGTAGTTCCAGCTGATCGGGAGGCTGAGGCAGGAGAATGGCGTGAACCCAGGAGGTGGAGCTTGCAGTGAGCCGAGATCACGCCACTGCACTCCAGTCTGGGTGACAGAGTGAGACTCCGTCTCAAAAAATAATAATAATAATAATAATTTTCTGAAATATATGCCTTTCTGCTATTAAGCTTGCTTTGTAAGAAAAATGCCTATGTTCAACAAATCACTAAGCCAAGGACACGTTTTCTCTTTATGATGAGAGGCAGGTATCCCATTAAAATAAATACATGACTTGGTTACATTTAGCTTGTATTTAAATTCTCTGTTCCTAACTATTTTTGTCTGGGAACCTCCATCATTCCTGCTGGCTTCAGGATTAGCTTCTTGCCTGAAACTCTAGTCTTTTAGCATTGAGCATTGATTCTCCTGAGGACAATAAAAACAAATAATAACTGACGCATACTGAATTCTATAGCTTGCATTTCAATATGTAGCTAAAGGATTTTATTTCTAGGACGGGACATTAGTACTCTACTGACTCAATGTCTGTAGAGACTTTGTTGCATTAATTGTTGCCTGGTCACCCTTTCTGTCAGTTCTTTCTATATTGCATAAAGCCATTTTTAGGTCTTTTTAAGTTTTTTTTTTTTTTTTTTGAGATGGTGTCTCACTCTGTTGCCCAGGCTAGAGTGCAGTGGGGCAATCTCGGCTCACCACAACCTCCACCTCCCTGGTTCAAGTGACTCTCCTGCCTCAGCCTCCTGAGTAGCTGGGACTACAGGCGTGCACCACCATGCCCGACTAATTTTTGTATTTGTAGTACAGATGGGGTTTCACTATATTGACCAGGCTGATCTCGAACTCTTGACCTCATGATCCACCCACCTCAGCCTCCCAAAGTGCTGGGATTACAGGTGTGAGCCACTGCGCCCGGCGTGGTCTTTTTAATCTTAAAAATGGTTGCAACCAAAAACCTCTTCCAGCCCTACAAATAAAACCAAGGAGACATTACCTCATTGTGTATCCCTTGTCAACTACTGTTTGAACGCCCTGCTTCCCTTCACAGCCAAGCCTCTTTAATGTTGTCTATGCTGCCTCTGCTCTTCCCATATCATCCACAAAAGCAAGCACTGGAATCCGTCTTGTGATCCCAGCTCTACACGGCAGCTTCTCTTAGGGAGCTCCTTGTTGCTAAATGCAGTCTTATTTTGCTTAAGTTCTATGTAGCATTTAAACCTTCCTAAAATCATCCTTTTGGGGGCTTCCAGGATGCCCCTTCTGTGTCATTTATTCTAACCTCCCTAGCTATTCTTTCTTCATCACCTTTGCTATCTCCACTTTCTCCGTTTTTCCCTTCACTACGGGGCAATTCTCTTAACCCTCTTTCTCTCCCAGCTGCACAGTCTCCCTGGATAATCTTGTCTACTCCAATGGCTTCATGCTCTGGCTGGGACCTCTCTGCTGAGATTCAGACATAAATATCTAACCGCCTAGGAACATCTCTTGTGTTCAAAACTACTGGAGTCCTCATCCACCCTCTACTTCCCACCCAACGCTCTTCCTTCCCCGCATGTGATTCCTTTATTGGCGAATGGCAGTACCGCACATTTGAGATCTACCACCAAATGTCAGGGTCATACCCTCGCATCCAATCAATAACAAAGATCGTTTGACTCATACTTCATCATTTCATATTGATCCCTTCCTCTCCATCACTAAACATCCAATCAATAACAAAGATCGTTTGACTCATACTTCCTCATCATTTCAAATTGATCCCTTCCTCTCCATCACTGAAGCACCAGGACTGCTGCTGAGTTCGCTTCTCCATCACCATCCCCCAGGAACTCTGAAACTACTTCCCAACTGGTCTCCCTTCCTCCAGCCTTACCCTCACTCAATCCGTTCTCCACACTGCCACTGAAATTATCTTTCCAAAATGCAGTAGTACAAATCTGATCAGGTCACTTGCCTGCTTAAAATCTGTTACCGGCTCTTCATTGCTTTCAGAAGAAAACCCAAACTCCTTGCCTAGCACGGCAGTGAAAGACCCTGCAGATACTGACCCTCCCTCCCTCTCCAGTCTCACTTCTCACAAACCCTGTTCTCATTCTCCAAGCTCTACCCAAACCCAGCCACTTGCTTTTCACCACTTCCAGGGGGCTCTTGATCTTTCCTGAGGCTGCAGCCAAGACATCAGCCAGGGCTGCAGCCGTCTGAAGGCTTGTCTGGGGCTGGAGGATCAGCTCCAAGGTGGCGCACACACGCAGCTGGTGGTGGGTGGTGCTGGTTTTTGGCCTGAGAACTCAGTTACCCCATGTGGATCTGCCAATAGGCTGCTTGAGTGTCCTCACAAAATGGTGGCTGACTTCCCCTGGAGTGAGAAACCTGAGAGAGGGGAAGGGGGGGTGTGTGGAATTTGCAGGCATATTTTTAAATTTCTTTAAAGGCTGACAATGAAGGGCTGGATTTTCCCAGCCCATGACAGTCATGGAATGTATTCTAGGGAGTAGAGAGCATATGCTGTCCGCGAATTCCATAGCAGCAACAGGATCTCAGGTTAGACACCAATAGGGATGGAGTTCTTTACAGAAGAGAGGCAGACTAGCATTCTGTTTAAGTGAAGGGAGGGTTATAATCCGATGAATCTGGGTTTAATTACAGGCTCAGTCACTGAGTAGCCGTGCAACCTGGGAATTACACTTATTTCTCTGTGCCTCTGTTTTCTCATTGTATTATGAGGATAAAAATAGTTGTGGCTACCTTAGCAGAGTGTTGTAAAAATTAGATAAAAGAATGCCTGATCCCAGCACTTTGGGAGGCCTAGACAGGCGGATCACGAGG